GATGGGCCCATGGTGCTAGTAATTCCGTGTTCAAGGACTCCAGACACCCAGGCTGGCTGAGGGGTAAAAGCCGCAGACTCTCAAATCCGCCTCTCCAGGTCCTCGCTGATTCCCAGCAACCACCCCAGCTCCCAGGATGCAGGCAGTTGATCCAAAGACACCAGACCCCCAAAGCCTGGGTCTGACCCCAAAGAAGGGTCAATTCAGGTGTAATTCACAGAGCATTGCCTACCAAGGTAGCAAAGGTTAGAAAACAGGAAAGACGTGATCTTAGCCAAGTTGTGGCAAGTGGGACATGCTCATTTATTTATTCACTCGACAAATATTTAAGGGGCACTTGCTGTATGCCTGGCTCAGTATTAGGTCTTGCGTAATATACAAACAATGGACAGGACACACAAGACCCCCATCCTCTCAGAACTTAGGGTCCAGGGGAACAGACTATAAGTAAACAAAGAGTGTGATACACAATGAGAAATTGTTACCGAAAGATCACAAAAAAGACCTTAACAGGAGGCCTCCCCTTGGACAGCAGGCTGGGAAGGCGGCGGCACTGGCACTGAGACGGATGAATGCACGAAGATAGTGATCACCTCCTAATTAAGAACTACAAAAGGGTTTTATAATACGTTTCAGTGGACAACAGAAGGGAAAAACATCAAGGAATCATGACTCCACCATGAATATCTGTCTGGTCATTAAAAATATTGCTTGTGAAAGTTTTCACGACATACAGATTTTTATGAATTATGTAAAATATCATAAGAAAAATACTGAGAATATCTGCCGAAATGTCACCAATGGATGTCTCTGGATGGGTGACTGTTTTTGGTTTCTGTGAGTGTGTGTGTTTTGGTTTTAGTTGTTCTGAATGCTGTTTCCTGATTTTCCACAGGAAGTATGCATTAACTTAATTCTTTAAATAAATGTTCCATTCACAATACAAACTAAAGGAGAATAGAGGTAAAACCGGTAAACGATAAAACACGGCGTGGATGGCCAAGGTACACCCAACGGGTCCAATGTTGCCGACTAGGCTAATGCTGAATAATAACCCAATAATAATACAAGCTGACGCTGGCTGAATTCCAGGCACTGGAAGCCCAGGTACTTGATGGGCTTTATCTTATTTAACTCGGGAGCAAGAGGGAGTTATGAACATCCCAGTTTTACAGATGAGGAAACTGAGGCCCAGAAAAGAAAATTCACTTTGCTTAAGACTGCCCAGCCTTAAGTGCTGGTACTGAGACTGGAACCTGGGTCTGTCAGACTCCAGATTCCTTTACTTAACTGCTGTCATCAGTGAATTTTCAGACGACAGCAAAACCAGCTGTTACAGAAGAAACAGAAGCAGGATCTGATCTGAGTCCCGGGACTGGCTGGGAGGAAGGCTCCGCTAGGCATGAATTTGGGCTGTAGAACTGCTAGAGAAAATGCGAGACATCTAGTTAAATCTGAATTTCTGATAAATGATGGATAATTTTTTAGTGTTAATTATATGCCCCTGAAATATTAGTATAGCAGGAATGCTGGCTTCACTGCACTAACTTCACTCAGTCCAGGACCAGCTCAATGCTCACCTCCTCCAGGCAGCCTTCTCTGATTCAACTCCAACACTCCAGACCCACCCATGCAATACTTGGGACATATTTACACTAAAAAAAAAATTCAACATTTATCTGAAATTCAAATTTAACTGAGAGTCTTTCATTTTTTTTTCCATTTTGCTGAATTATAACTGACAAATAAAAACGGCATATTTTTAGGTGTACATGCAATGATTTGACATCCATATACATGGTGAAATAATTACCACAATGAAGTTAATTAATACATCCACCACTTCACAGAGTTACCATTTTTTCTGTGTGTTTTGAAAAGAATTAAGATCCACTCTCCTAGGAAGTTTTAAGTGCACAAAAATACAGTATTATTAGTTAGGGTCATCATGCTGTACGTTAGATCAGTTACAAGATGAACAAGTTCTGGGCACCCCATGTTTTTATTGCTAAACCTGGCAACTTGGGAGGCTTGTACTTAGCAACTCGCATTCTTGGGGTACATTCCCTGGCCTTCAGATTCCCTTACTGAGACTGTACCTGGCCTGCCCAGTCCCAGAATAGTAGCCCAGGATTGTATCAAAGACCAGCAACTTTTCAGAATTTATTTTTGTTTTTGGAAAACAGAGAAGACACTCTCGGGATACCCACCAGGTAGCAGAGAGAGAACAAAGGAACCATCCCTCCAGAAAACACCCCCCGGAAATACACACAAACGCATACACACAAAGAGAACAATTTCAAAGGCCTCCTGGACACGGAGACGCTGTGACCCACCCCTGTACACAGACTTACAGTCAAATCAGGCTGAGATGAACTCACTAGGGCCAAGTTCAGGCCCTTTTCCTCCTCAAAAAGGACGGAAAAATAACCAGCCACCCTCTTCCTGACTCAATTAGATACACTTGTCCAAAACTCATTAAGTGAACAAGGAAACCCAAGTGCCAGGATAGCTGCTCATCCTCTGCCGTCAAGGTTAAGGTCCCAGCTCCGAATGGCCCCCAGTCATGGGGAGTAAGAGTATGGAAAAAACACCGTGCTATGGCCTCCCTCCCATGGAGGGAGGGGTCGGGAAGAAGTGGACTTAGGTTGATTTAGATGGAAGACAAGTAGATCCAGAATTCAGTGATGGACGAGCTGCACTTTCACCTGCTGCAGACAGAGCCTCAACCACAGTGATTCTCAAAGCGGGGTCCTCAGACCAGCATAAGCATCACCTGGGAACTTGTGAGCAGTGCAGATTCTCAGGCCCCACCCCAGAACTACTGAATGGTAGCTCTGCGGATAGCACCCAGCAGTGTGTATATTGAGATATAACTGACAAAGAATAAATTACTCACCTTAAAAATGTACAAGTCAGTAAGCTTTGTGGTACATGCTCATGAAACTATCATGACCCCAGTGAAGACGACGACATACCCCTCAGCCCCAAAAAGCTTCCCTTTATAATCTTTTCTCCCCTCCGCCTGACCCCGTCCAGTCCCAGGCAACCACTGACTGTTTTCCATCACCACGGGTCACATTTCCTACTTTCACATACATGGGGTCACAGGGCTGTACTCTCTCCTCTGAGATTTCTCACCCAGCATGATTATTTTGAGAGCGTGGTGTCCTTGACCAGAGCAATCCTTCACTCACTTTTATGGAGGATGAGTATACTATCTTAACGTGTAGTCTACAGTGTACCTCCATCTGTTCACCTCACAGCAGACACTTGGGTGGTTTCTAGGTTCTGGCGATTACAAATAAAACTACTTGGAACTTCCATGTAGAAGTTTTTGTATGGACAGACGTCTTCCTTCTCCTGCAGAGAAAGCCAGGGGTAGACTAGTGTGTCATATAGGAGGGACAAGTTTGACTTTTTAAGAGCCTGTTTTCCAAAATGGTAGTACTGTTTTCCATTCCCTCCAGCAGTGTATGTGAGTTCCAGTTACCACAAATTCTCACCAGCACTTGGTATAATCCATTTTTTTACATGTGGGCCTTTTGTAATTGCGTAACACTACTGCACTGTGGTTTCCATTTAAATTTCTTTAACGATGTTGAGCATATTTTCCTCTGCTTCTTGGGCATTCTTCCATGAAGTGTATGTTGAAATCTCTTGCCAGTCTTTTTTGTTAGGTTGTTGTCTAGAGAGTCATTCATATATTCTGGATTCAAATACTGTATCAGATATGTAATCTGCAAATATTTTCTCCCAGTCTGTGGCTTGTATTTTCATATTCACCAACACTTTCAAACAGCAGAAATTCTTAATTTTGATGAACTACAGTTGATTTATTTGTTCTATTATGGACTGTGCATTCGGTGTTGCATCTAAGAAATCTTGACTCAAACCAAGGGTAGAAAAAAATTTCTCTTCTTCTAGAAATTTTATGGTTTTAAGTTTTACATTTAGGTCTACACTCTTCTTTTTAAAATTTTTTAGTATGGTGTGAGGTTGTGGATTGAAATTTATTTTTTGCATGAAGATACCCAATTATTCCAGTACCACCTGTTTCCCAGATGTGTATGTTTGGAAAAAAACTTCAATGTTGAAATCACCTACCCTCCTCCACCTGGTGAACTCCTATTCATTCTTCAAAACCCAGATCAAATGTCCCCTTGGCTAGGAAGTCTTCCCTGACTAAGGACAAATAGATCTCAAGTGTTCAACTATCCTCAAGTGTCCACAGCCTCTTGTGCAACCTCTGCCATATTCTTATCCTACATGACTGCATTAATCCTCACGTTTGTTTCTCCTGATAGAGTTAAAATTCATGGGTGAGGACTTTTATAGCAGCACTTAGCACAGGCTTGGCACAGGAGGAAGTGGTGTGTGTAGCAGAATCAGAGGCAGGTAGTGTAATGATTCTGAAAACAACTGTTGAAATATAAAATGCTTTAAATAATTGAATACCATTTCTCAAGGTCCTATGTACAGGCCACATCTTCCAAGAAGCCATCTCTGATGGCACCTACCCATATTATTCATCAATAACATTTTCTAAGAGTACTCAGTTGATTGATTTAGGCCAAGCCCTGTGCTAAGCATTTCATGTATCTCATTTCATTTAATCCTTAAAACCACTCCATGAGGCAGATGCTACTACTCTCATCATTTTAGAGGGCACAGACATTCAGAGAAGTTAGACTGTATGCCTGAAGTCACATATCAGTAAGTATCAGAGCTGGGGTTTGAACCGGATAGCCTGTTCCCAGAGCCACACTCTAACCTCTGGGTCTCCCACCCCCTGGTTCTCTTTATTCATACAAGTCTTATTGTCCCATCAAGCCAGGTGCTGCCAAGGTAACCCCTGCCTCCCGCACATGGCCAGCCCTTACCAGCTCTGCACTCCAGTGGCAAAGAAGAAGAGTTGCAAAAGGAACCCCTATATCACACTCCCATTCTGGCCATAGGAAGACAGACACCCAGACACCCTAAAAGGACCTCCCCCTTACCTTAGGCCACATGCCCATGCCGAAGGAGCTGCTATCTGCCATCTGGTGCAGGTACAGCTCTGTCCTGAAAGCAGAAAAGGGTCTAGGTAAGGGAGGCCCAAGGACACCAGTGACCTGGCAAGGCTCCACACGATGCTCCAGACAATCCCAGGTCCGGCCCCACTTCCAGAATATTCCTCACTGCCCTTACTTGGCCCTTGACAAATGCCAGAAAACCCTGGAAGAAAGAGTCATAGACTAAAAAGGGGAGTATGTCCTAACTCCAGCCTTCACTCATTGGCTGTGTGAACTTGCTCAAGGATGGTATTAGAACAGGTAACTTGAATTAGTCCTTTCTATATGCTGAGTTTGAAGGTTATTCATGGTAGTGCCACCCAATAGGTACAAATACGATTCCCATTTTACAGATGACAAATCAGAGGCGCTGTGAGTTAGCACTTTTCCCCTGCAGCTGCAAACATGGAGCCAGGAGTTGGGCTGAGCAATCTTGGCCCCCAGAGTATAGGTTCCTATGCTGTCCTACTACTCGCCCCTTCTCCCGGCCTCTGTCTTCACCCTATAAAGTGACATGATGCTTACGGCTCATTTCAGTGTTCAGACTGGAGGTTCCCTAAGAGGGGGAACTACAGACGGGCTGCCCAACCCTGCAAGCCTGAAGGGTGCCAGCAAAAGGGGAGGTAGAGGCACGGCCAGCCCTGCCCCTCCCTAGGCACACCTCACTAGGAAAAGCATCACAGAGCCCAGCACAGGCCCCCACACTTCCTGCCCCATGGCGGCTCAAACCGATTCCCGGAACTAGAGCTTACTCACCTGTCCCCAGGCAGTTTCTCCAGTTCTGGGCCCTCTAGTGCCCATACCCCCAGTTTCCTGCAGAACCCCATAGCCCAGGCTTCTGCCTCATGCCCTGGAAGGACGCTTGTCTCAAAGGGTTCAAGCCCAAGCCCAGCCCTGCCAGTAGTGGACCAGGTCTTTCTCTGAGTCTCCCTGTAGCTCATCTTGCCTCCCAGGATTAGATGAACTATTATATATAAACTCCCCCTGCCAGCTGGCACACAGTAGGTACTCTATAGTCTGCAGTTGTTCCCCTTGCACTCAACATGCTCTGTATTCCATCAGTTGGAAGTTCAACTTGACAAACAATTATGGAACATCTACCTGGTTCCAAGTCCTATACTAAGTGCTGGGGAAGCAGAAAGAAATAAAGGAGGGCCCCTGATTCAAAGATCATGCAATCAGCCTGGTGGGGAAGAGAGATCCACAAACTCCAGTGCAGCAAGGGCTGAATCAGAAGCACACACCAGGCACCAAAATGGCACAAAGGAGAAACTGAGGAAGCAACAGTCAGAAATTCTGCACTCCTCAAAAGGGTTTCAAAGGAGGGTTTTGAAGGATGAATAGGAGTTTGCCACATGCATGCATGGGATAAGGACATTTGTGAAAGTGGGAACCAGTTTTTGTCTTTTGATAGCTTTCCTGTGAATGAAGGAAGAGCCTGGCAGCAGTGGAGGTAGGAAAAGGGAGACAGCCTAGGAGGTCACCAGAGCCCCAGCATGACTATGACCCCCTAAAGGGTCTTTGCTGTGCTAAGCACTTTTCTCGCATCTCCCTGGGTCCCTGAAGCTCATCTGGGTCAGCCTCCTCCCCTTAGGCACAGCTTCCACATCACTCTAAGCACACCACACTCACCTTTGCCAGGCCCATTGACACAGAGCCCTCCCGGGCTGGACCTGGCCTGGCATAGAGGCTTGGCATCCTCTGCTGACAGCAGCCCAGCCCTGTCCTTCCTGGACTTGTCTCACAGGGAGCCCCCAGCAGCCCCCTTTCCAGCAGGCAAGGGCTCCAGGCTCAGAACACAGCCCGATGCGGGTTCCCCAGAGAGATATGCGTGCCCGCCAGTGCTCTGAGAGATGTGGGAATGGAGGGCCCCAGAGGTGAAGCCTTTCACCTGAAGCCAGAGCTGGAATGCAGGATTCAGACTGCCATGTTCAGAGTTTATGAGAAGTTCTCCCACGTTATGCCCCAGCTGTCCACCAACAGGGCGCCTGCTGCTTTGAACGGATTTAAATGCCCACAGGGTTGGCACTAGTAGGTACCCATTCTATAGAAAGGGAAACTGAGGTTCAGAGAGGACCACAGAGGGCACAGGCAGGATCCAAACACAATCCCTCTGAGCCCAAAGTCATCCTCACCAGCACAGCCCTGCTCAGGGTCTCGGGGGGTGTCAGGGCAGATCCCATTCTGCACAAAATGGACAAACACACAAAAAGCACACGCTTGGCCATGGTGCTACTCTACGCACACACGCCTGTCCACTTTATAACCCTTCTCATAGTGCTCCAAGGTAGATGTTTTCACACCCATTTTACAAGTCAGGAAAGGGAGGGTCAGGAAGGAAGAGTCCCCAGCCTGAGGTCACACAGCCAGCAAGGGGATAAACCAGATGCACATCCCTGCAGCTCAGCCCCGGAGTCCGTGGTCCCAGCCACCATACGCCACAGCCCCATTCCAGGTTCATCTGGAGGCTCTGACTGCCTTACAGAAGCTTCCTTACAACTCAGTTACCCTGCTCTGGAAAGGGAGAGTTTCCTTGTAACATGCCCTCTCTGCAAAACTCTCCAAAGGGTACAGCTGTCCTACGGCCTCAGCCGAGGACAACAGCCGGGTTGAGCCTGTCCTTCCAACTGCAGAGGCAGATGGGAGACAAACACTGGGGGAGGCACAAGGCAAACTGCAAATTGTCACCCAGAGTTTTATTCTCCTGGGGCTGCCTGAGAACCCTGCCTGTTCATTTGACATATGAGGAAACCGAGGCTCAGAGAGAGAGAGCCGTATGTGCCCAAGGATGCCCTACAGAGTCCGGCAGGGGCAGAGACTGGGCCACCTCCCCCAGGAAGCCCTCCAAGATGAGTCTCGCCTAGCCACCCTGTTTGCTGCTGCACTGGGTGCCCCCTTGTCCTCACGTACCCCATTTGGGCAAACCCTTCTGTGTGCCCAGGGCTCCCACCGAGTTTAGGAACTTCTGGAAGACTTCAGATCTTCTGTTCCTCACCCACCGCCCATGCTGCTGTTAGGCCCTAAGCTGACAGGCCACGGTCCCAGCCGCTCGCCTCCACCACCCCAGCGTTTATAAAGGGCTGTGAGTGACTTATCTCACTTAATCCTATAAGGATGGTCAAGGTATTGTTTTCACTTTACAGAGGAAGAAGCTATGAAACATGAAAGGAAATGGGGTCAACTTATGTCAAGGGGCTTTCAGATGGAGCTAGGAGGCCGTTAAGGAGACAGGCCATCTGCACGTCCTCATGGATGGAACCATGAACATTTGAACTGGGCCAAACTGCAAATACCCGCAAGGGCTCAGCCTGAACACCTGTAACTCTACAGTGAGAGGCTTTGCTTAGTGATGGCCCTAGCAACCAGTTACATGCGGTCAAGATCAATTTTCTGCCACCAACGCCAATCACAATTCTTTATAAACAACACATACAGTCTCTTTTGTCTTTAAAAATCCTTGTCACCCCCGGGGACACAATTTGGGTTGCTACCCAAATCTATGCTCCCTGAATTGCAATCCTGAGACCCCAAATAAATGTCTTTATTTCATGTCTGCCTCTTTTCTCCATTGACAAAACCGGGGTTCACAGTGGGCAACACTTGACCTTCATCACGCAGCCCATGAGCAGTAACAGGCAGCTGGATTCAGAGGTCACGTTCGTACCACTGTCTCGACTGGGGCCCTGGAGAGAGGGTTTTCTTTGTCTCGCTGTCTTCCACTGTCCCTGCCCAGCCCTGTGGCTCACCTGAGATCCAGGTCCAATCCAGCCAGCATCTGGGAGAAAACCTCGAAATTGCCTTCCCCTTCCGGCTGCCGCGCCACACGGCTCTTCTCCAGAAGCATTGTCTGTGGTGGGCGGGACGGACACTGGTCAGCACTCCGGTACATCTGTCCCCTCCCTGGTGGCCAGCTCCCCGGAGGCCCCATCAGGATGCCCCACCCTGACCCACTCTTTGAGACAACATCTCAGGTTCAGTCTACATATCAAACTATCAGACCCTCATCTCACTAGTTCAGAGTCCATCTAGGGACTCAGCTAATGCAATAGATTCGTGCCGATTAAGGTACCCAAAGGTAATAACAATTAAACGGAGCCATCCTCCAACATATTCTTACTAGCGAAAGCCTTGAATAACTTGACCCAAATGGTGATTAATGGTAGAATTTCAGGGCCAGGACAGAAGAGGGACTTAGCACTGATGAGCTTTCCTGATTCTGGATATTATCTCTGCTCTGCATACAAACAACTCTTCTAATAACCTAATCCTATTTTCTGTTCAAACAGAGTGTCTGAGCAGGGGAGGAGAAGGGCCTGGTGATTTTGGAGATGGGAACAAACAGGCCATGTGTTCGTCACACATGGACTGCTGCGGAAGGCCAGCAAGCGACTGTTTAATTTCAGCTTACGCTTTTAAGGCCCAGCTAATGAGCGACTGAATTATATATTTACTCATGAATATTTCATCCCTGTGATATTCCGAGGGGCAGACGGGCTGGCTTGCTCACCATGTTCTGGGGCGCTGAGTGAGGTTGGGGGAGAGCGGCCCATGGCCACGTGAGCCGTGACCACTTAGACACATTCCAGGGGGCGTGGGCTCTGCTGAGTGGGGCTGGGAACCACCTCTCCCATCTCCCAGAGGCCTCACCTGGAGCTGAGCAGCCGTGACTCGGCCTGTGGCATTGAAGTCCAGCGACATCACCATGGCAAACCGGGTGGCGTGGCAGCTGTGGCCAGTGGACACACAGCCAAAGGCCCGGAGGATGGTGAAGGTGGCTCGGATCTTCTCCACTGTGGGGGAACAGGTCAGGGTGTCACCCCAGACGCTGCCACTGCCACCCCACACGGGACTACGTTCCCCACTGGTGTCCACCCCAGGCCAGGCCCAATCCAGGCCGCAAGCCCCAGTGCACTTCCTGGTACCTCCCAGCTCAGCTCTAAACCACGCATATTCCACTGCTGTCCAGGCCCTATGCTGCAAGCAGTGTGCAGGAAGAGCAAGATTGAGTCAGCCTGGGAGAGACATGGGCCCAGGGTGGGGGCTCGGGGCCTTAGAGAGCCTAGGAGGGTGAGGCATTAACATCCTCAGACCAGCTCAGAGAGGGCTAACAGCGTAGCAGCAGCCTGGAAAGTCCTGCAATCTCTCCACAATGTTTACAGAGCACCTACTACATGCCGGGCACTGTGCTAGGCTCCTGGATACAGCCTAGCCTGACTCCCACCCACAAACACACACCTTCACAGCAGAACTACATTCTTGGAGGGCCAAGACTGATGCCTGTCCCCACTGTATCTCCAGCTCCTAACATGGGCTCCGTGTAGAACAGGTGGTCGACAAAGTACTGGAATTAGCCCAGCTGAAAAGCAGAGCTCAGTGGGTGAATGTGAATATGGGCTTTGCCCTTTGCTAGTGACCTGATTTGGGACAAATTAATTAATCTCTCTGTGCTTCAGATATCCCACCTCTAAGATGAAGCTAGTAACAGTACCTACCTCGCGGGGTTGTCATGACTAAAAGATTTAACAATAAAAAGTGCTTAGAACGTGCTCCAAATATGGTGTTGTTAGTATTATATTTATTAGGACTAGAAAAGCAATGTATTCTCAGTGGGGAGAACATTGCCCCCAAAAAGTGAAAAACTGATTCTTGGGAGTAAGAGAACTTTGCTTTCTCCATGGAGCACAGATACACAGGCACAAACAGATACGTGGTATATCTGTGACATTAAAATTTCATGGTAGCAGGGTAATTAAGGAGGGGGAATGTCTAAAAAGACTCCCTAGAGGTGCAAAAAAAAAGAAAGACTGAGAACATGGGCCCAGGGGTGACAGTTCTGGAGCCAGACAGCCTGAGTTTGAATCCCAGCTCTAGGATGTGGGCTGTGTGGCTTTGGGCTAGCTAGTTAACCTGTCTTAATATCCTTGTCTATGAAATTTGAACAAAAATAGTATCTACCTTATAGGGCTATTTTAAATAATAAATAATTTAAGATGCTTGGAATAGGGCCTGGCGCCTATGTGCTCCGCAGGTGTTTACTATGATCATTACAAATATTGTGATTACTGTTACTTGGCCCTCTTTCTTCAGAGGCTGGCTCAGGAGCCTCTTGCTCAAGGAAGCCCCCACGCCCTCCTCTGGGCTCCCTCTGCCGCTGCACTAATCAGCCCTCTGCCAGCACTTTGTGCAGAGCATCTGAGTTTGGTACATCTGTGCCATTCAGTTTCCTCTGTCTCTCAGCTCCTCATGAACATCAGCCCTGCTCTTCTCTCTTTACTTGTTGGGCCCTCTGTACAGTTCACCAGGTTGTGCACTGCACAAGGACACCACATCTAAGGAGTGTTTATATATCACTTATATATCATAGAATCACAGATTTGTATATTTATTAGGATTTCCCAGCACATTGGTGGTCTAGTGTTTGGCTCCAATAATCTTAATATCTGATGATGGTTCTGCAGAAGGCTGTGAACATCTTGAGGAAGGGGTACCTTCTTTCTAACCAGTGCAAAGGTGTCCACTGGACTAGGATGACCCCCCTCAGGAGCAAGCACAGGCTCTGTGCACAGGTGCTCAGTGGATGCTAGCTGAATGACTGTGAGGAGGAGCAGTCCAGGACACCCCCCCCACTCTCCTCTCCCTCCTCCCACAACCCACCCACAATATGTGTCACCTGGAGGCTACTATACCTGAGACCCCGCCATCCACACCACCTGCCATCTCCACCAGGTGCTCCAGGACCTGCTCACAGCAGGTGGTCTTCCCGGCGCCACTCCGGCCCAAGGCCACAATGCTCTGGTCTTTCCGCTGGCTCAGCAGTGCCCAGTATGCCCGCTGGGCCAGGGAGCCAACGTGGGCAGACAGGCCCTCCCGGCTGCCCCGGGGCACCTGCAGGAAGATCTTAGGCATCAGCCTTTCCCTCTCCAGCCAGTCCCAGGAAGCAGTCCAAGACAGTGCCCCACCCCAGCCTCTAGCCCAGATCTGTGTCCCAACCTCCCATCCTGCTCCATCCTTGGGGAGAGCCCAGCCCGGGGTTCTAGTCCCACCCCTGGTTCACAGTGAGTCCTTGGGCATCCTTTGAGCCTACACTGAACCTGGGTCTCCTCTTCAACTACCAGGAAGCCTGAACTAAAACTGTTAGCTTATAGAGCCCATCTGACTTGGTACTCAAATCATTGGGTCATACCTGCCTATGATGCGGCACTGGATGAAATGGCCCAATGAATGAGTGATGTCTGCCATGGAGCCAGAATGGGGTGTTAGGGAGCTGGTGGTACATCTGCTATATGCATTTGCCATCACAGATTTAGATAATACCTGAAGTCCCTTCCAGTTCATTCATCCATCCATTCATTCTTTATTTGATTTAAAAAAAACTCATTGAGTACCTACCATGCAGCAGGCACTGTCTCAGGCACTGGGGGCAAAACACTACCCAAAACAGATAAAGAAACTGCCAACCATGAGGAAATGCCATCGTCCACCTATTAGAATGGCTTTTTAAATGTTTTTAATTTCTTTAACACTCACAACCAACTTCTGGTAAAGACCGAGAGCAACTAGGATTCTCATACACGGCTGGGGGGGACGCCAAATGACACACTCCGGGAGCAACTGGGCACCACTCATACAGCAAGGTGCGCACTCAGCATGGAACCCAGCAATCCCTGCCTAGGTATTTACCCAAGAGAAATGGACGTTTTTGTTCACAGAACACCCTCTACGGCACTGGTCACATTGAGAAAACGTTCAAAATCACCAAAAAGTAGAAACAGCCCAAATGTCTGTCAACTGGCAAACTAGGGCTCCCGACCATCCTGGTTTCAGCATTAAAACTTCTGTTTCTGGAAAACGCTCCTTCCTGAGAAAAGCAGAACACCGTGTCGCCCTGTGAGTGGACTGACAGACTAAAGCACCCCTGCAATAAAAGAAAGAACGAATGGCTGAAAGCCGCAACAGTGGGTGACTCTCAACTGCGTGGTGGAAACTAGCCGATTCCAAAGGTTACTGCGGTACAAGTCCATTTATATGACTTTTCAGAAAAGGCAAAACCATAAGGACAAAGAAAACCCAGACCGGTGGCTGTCAAGGGCAGGACACGGAGGAGGGGAGGACCACAAAGGGCCCCAAGAACTTTCTGGGGTGATGGAACTGTCCTGTAATTGATGCGGTTATTACACAAGTGTGCATACTTGACAAACACAGAACCGGATACCAGAAAGGTGATTTGGACTGTTTGTAAATGGTGTCTGAGGAAGCTGGGCTGAAAAACAAAAAGCCAGTCTGCTGAACTTGCTTTCTGTTGGGAAGAGACAGAGGACAAACGAAGCAAATAATTCAATTATATCTAATAGGAGTCATTTTAAAGCCATGAGTCTGGACGAGATCACCAAGGAAGTGGGCATTTAAAGAAAAGAAGAGAAGAGGTGTGGGGCCAGGGCACCCTGACCCAGAGATGTCAGGGAGACCAGCAGAGGAGGCTGGGGAGGAGCCAGCAGGACAGCAGGAAAACCAGAGAGTGGAGTCCCGGCCCAAGGAAGGGAGTGCCCGCAGGAGGGAGGGACCGGCTCCATCCAACGGGTCCTGAAAGAGGAAGCCAGAGACGTAACCACTCAGCACTGGGTTTGGCAGCGTGGAGATCACTGGTGACCTTGACAGCAGTCTGCTTAGCACAGCCTTTAGGGAGAAGGCAAGACGGCAAGTGGAAACAGGGAGGCCAGCCAAAGCAGGGGAAGGGCCTGATGGGGGGAGGACATGGGACCCTGGGGTGCACCTGTGTGAGGCCTCTGCTGCCCTCCCCAGGGCCTTAGCAGGACCAGGGACACAGAGTGCAAGGCCCTCCCCGAACCCACACCCCCAGTGCACTGTTGGCCTTCCCTGCCCCTGGACCCCTGGGAACAGTAGTAATGAGTCCTCATTCTGATGAAGACACAGGGGTCAGCAGGACCCCAAAGCTGGCAGAGGTGGGCAAGCCCCCCACATGGGCTGGACACCGCCTTGGGGCACACAGAAGGCAGAAGACCCCAGAATCTAAACCCTGGAGCCACCTCCCACTCTGGAAACACTAGAATTCCAGGGACAGTCCCAAGGACTGGAGGGGACAAGAGAGAATTTGGCAGATGGAGGCCCCTGTGTACACACACAAGTGCATGTGCACACATGCCCTTGTATTTGTTCACACGTACCCTTGCATGCTTGCACACAGGCATGCTCACCGACACATGCACCCAAAACCTGCAGAGGCCCCTGTGCCCGTCTACACCCCATTCAATCACACCCACACTCACACCCAAGAAGACCTGCTCCCCCACCCCCGCACACACCCAGCTCCAGAGCAGCCAGATGGGCCCAGACTCCCAGTGAGACCCACACACTGCCCAGCCCATCTTCAAGGGGGTGCCAGTCCTAGCCTCACCGCAGGTCTGTGCTCCCATCTGGTGGCCATTTGTGAAACTACATACGACTCAGCCAAAGAACCTAGGTGGCTGAGGGTTTGAGTACAGGATGTGAAGGGAAGGGCAGGGTACTGGGCAGGGGCTCAGAGGGATTACGAGACTCATATCCACTTCACGTTTTATGCCTACATTTTTAGGCTGTTTGGCCCAGGCTCTGCAACGGATGCCTCAATCCAGGACAGCCAGTGTGAATCTGGCTTGCAGTAGGTCCCTGTACAAAACATCCCTCCTGGGGGCTCCTAAGGAGCCTGAGGAGCTGCCAGCTCCTCAGAAGGCTCAGAGGCCTTGGGCTTCAGCGACGGAAGCCTAGACCTCACAGCAAGGGAGGGGAGAGTGCGCGTGCTCAGCTGTCCTCCCGCACCCCTGCCAAGGCCAGCCAAGCTGGGGTGGGACCTGGGGTGGCATGGGGTGGCCTGGAGAAGAGAAGCCTTGGGGAGGGGGATGCAGGGCACTGTGTCCTCTTTAACGGGCTTGGCATCATTCAGAGGCTAGGGGTGGATTTTCTCCCGTGGGACTCCAGAGGTCAAGATGAGGCTTTCATCCCCAATAGACGGGTGAGAACTCTGATGCAAAAGAGGCTTGATCTTTCCAAGGTATCCTCAGGGCTCTAGCAGGCGTTCTAGAGGCCTGTGCCTCTCCCTGACCCACGAGTCCTCAGAACAGGGCCCAGATAAGATGTCTGGCCTCCCATGGGTCTCCCACGCTGCTCCATCTACTCTCTGCCCAGCAGCCAAGGACGCCCTTTTATAGCAGCAGTCGGACTGTCTCTCTGCTCTGCTTAGAATCTCCAGTGGCTGCCATCATGCTTAAAGGAAAAGCTGGAATCCTTAGGACCATGTGTGAAACCTGGCACGACCCTCATGCCCGTTTGCCCCAACCTGCTCACTATCTCCTCCTCCACACTCATCAGCTACTTAGAATTATTGGCCTGTCTCCCCCTCTGTAATGGAAGGTCTGTGAGGGCAAGTTTATTTGCCCAACTTCCCTGCTATTTCCAGCACACTTGAAGTATCAACCTGCCACTCCATCAATAGCCATTGAAACAATGAAGGACATGGGCTCAAATTACTCAGTTGTGGCTGCGCACCTTCCCACAAGGGGGCGCTGAGAGATTACCTTTGCTTCAACGGTCTTAACAAAAACTGGCTGTTTCTATATGTAACATGAAATAAATAAGTAAAAGCTTGAGGCTTCAGTTTCCCAATTTATGTGGGACTCCCAAGTGTCCAGTGCGAGATGCAGGGCATAGACGAGCAGGCAGCCCGGGTGTTATCACAGCTACCCAACTACTGGACATGAGAGCTCCGAGGCTGGCCCAGCCCCTTCATCTCATCTGCGAAATGGGGTCAGTAATGGTTCCTGTCTTTGCAGGTGGGTGAGAAGGTTAATTGAAATACTATGTGAACATGCTTGAAGCAGTGCCTGGGACAGAGTTGATACTCATGTAATATTTTCTCTCATTGTTATTTTTGTCTTTAATGTACCTGTTGTTTCTATCAGTCACTCACCTTTACCCTCTAAGGAGGGGAGATCACAGGTCCTTGATGCCCCAGGATGCCCACATTGCCCCTGGATCTCGCATCTGACAGGATGTTACTCACAGACAGACAGGTTTGCAGGGGGCTTTAGCTGCTATGCTCTCCTCCGGGGTGCAGAGGGAAACCCCTGCAGCCTGCCCCTCCTGTGCCTGTCTCCAGGCCTTGCCCCATGGTCCCCCCTCACCTTGCCTGAAGAGGGCGCCAGGGGCCCCCGAGGCTGGAGGGCGATCAGATCCGGCCCTGAGCAGGTGTGCGGCAGCTGAGCCCGGTAGCGGTGCAGAAGTGTGTTCAGGACACTCGACTCGTTGACACTGACCAGCGAGGCCAGGTCCTCGGCCTGATCCAGCTCAGGAGGGTTGGCCTGCAAACCATCACAGTGTCTTCTGGCCTTCTGGGCCCCCATGCTGCCACCACCACCACCCCTACACACACACACAGGCCCAGTGACCCTGTCCTTGGACAGCTGTGACCAAAGGCCAGGACAAGCCCCAAGGACTGGAGAGAGTGACAAGACCCCTTCTCCTTTGCCCTTTGCACAGCCTGAGAGCCACCCTTCCCTTCACACTAGTCCTTCCTTCCTGAGCTCGCTGCACTAGGGGGAGGTGCTCCCAGACACACAGGAGCACCTTCTGTATCTCAGACACCACAGAAAGAAGGGGGTGTTCCAGAGTGAGGGGGTGACTGCTTCTGTTGACTCCTCTTCTGGGTCATCGGGGAGATCTGTATGTGCTCTATGATGCTCAGGGGTGGACCAAACAGCCTCATTTGTCTAATAGCCCACCTGCATTGATCCCTGGAAAATAGGCCCAAACTTTTCTAGAAGCAAAGGATGATTGTGGCTTCCCCTTGGGGCATCCATTCTAAAAGGGTTCCTACCATTCTTTCACGGAGCTTTCTGGACTTAATGCTCTGGGGTTTGGGTTAAGCCTAAGCTCTCTCATAGGTCAGCCTTTCTTCTGAGGACACTGGCCCTCTGCAAGCTCCCAGCACCAATAGGAATGGAAGGCCTGAAGTGGGCAGGGGAGTGGACAGGGATGAAGATAACCAAGGCCCACATGGAGCTCCTGGAGGAAACTCATTCTTGATTAATAGGCTATAACAGCTGAGGGAAAAAATCAGGACAGAACCTTTTTTCCCCCTATCATTATCCTCCAAAAGATTTACAGTGTATTGCAAAAATTATGCAAAACAACTATAAAAGCAAAACCAAAATACAGGCCACTGGAACCTATGCTATGATTAATGGCAAGCTGTAGATTTATTTAACTGAGCTCCCTGGCAGCTGGAGTGAAAAGGGAAACACATCCTGTAGCAAAACTGGCAATGTCCATAAAATGAAAAGCAATCACTTTCTTGGGTCAAGCAGAATTCTCAGCCCTAAGACCGAACAAACATTGTCTCTTAACATATCTGCATGATGGGGACACTGAGACAGAGCAATGACTGTCTAACAATGTACAGAAAGCAGAGCAGTGAGTACAAGGATGGTCTTCCCCATGACGCCCTCTGGGGCACCAAGCCATAGCTGCATCTGCAGGCAGCTACCAGGAAATGTGTTGCAGAGGGAGGGAGGGAAGGCATGGAGAAGGCACACAGAAGGGGAGGGGGCTCACCCGATGGACATGATCCTCATCCACCTCAGTAATGGTTTTATCAGCATCAATGCAAAGTCGCACCTTTCCCACTGGCAGGTCAGCTGTCCCCTCATCTGGCTTCAGCACCGTTGCTGGTGGACAGCACAGGGACAGAGGGAGGAGAAGAGGGAGAGAAGAGGAGAAAAGAGACAGGCTCTGAGTGGATGAGCCAGGCCAGAGAGCTGGAGAGGGGTCCAGGACAGGTCAGAAAGGAGCCACGTCCCCTTCCCTTGGGGCCTATTCACATGAAGGGTTCTGAATGGTGACCCTCAAACCCTTTGAGGACAGAGGCTGGGTTTGACCCTCCTTGGGCTTTTATCAGCTGGCACAGGGCCAGGCACACAGAGGACTAGGTGCACTGACACACCTCATACCTAGACCTGGGATGGCAGACAGTGGCATACACCTGCCATTTCTCTTCCAGCACCCATGACAGACATCACTAACAATCACTCTTCCCAGCTATGTTCTTACACAGACTCAGAATCACCTCCTAGTAGACAGTGGTCACAACTAATCAGCCAAAGTGGGCTCATGAGATGAAATCTAAATGTCGCCCTGGGCTCAGATTCCCTTGAGGAACACTGTGTATGAATCAAACAATGCTTGTTGCGTTAGTGAATTAAATGATTAACTGCTAAGGCTCAAATGCCTTTGCAAAGAGCACCCAGTAGACCAGCTGCCAAGGGTGAACTGACCCTCAACTACTCCCACCCCAAAAAGCCACATTTCCCCACCCTAGTCTTAGGGGCTCCTTACCCTCAACTTTCTCCCCAAAAAGGGTCAGGACCTGGCAAATATGGCTAGCAGCAGTAGGGGATGCGAGAGAAAAAGACTTAGACCCTCAGATGAGCTAACAGCCCTAATTACCAAGAGTAAATCCATCCTTCTGAACCAGCCAGACTTTTTCTGCCTCGTACCATCTGTCCTCAGGAGCCTGAGAGCAAAGATTACGTACATTAGACCCAGGTCACATTGCCCTTCCCCACCGCGTGTGAGGGGCGAGCCCCTTATGTGGGAGTTTCTTGGTGGGATCTGGGACTCCTAAATCAAAATCCCCTGAGGGGGTGAGGGGTGCTTATTTAAAAGCAGGTGCCTTGGCCCCACCCCTGACCTTTTGAATGGAATCTCCAAGGGGGACTTGGGAATCTGCATTTTGAGCAATCTGCTATTTTTTAGCCCCAAATTTGAGAACTATCGTGTGACATGAGTAAGCTCAGCCACAAGGGGGCGTCTCACAATCCTTGGGATCTCCTTCGTTCTACGGACATCCCCACCCCAGGACAGGGGGCAACGCGGGCCTCAAGACGCCGGCTTATCAAGGAGAAAGTGCTTGTGGCCTCCTCTGGGCGGGCCACCTCTCTCCAATGTCCTGTCTCCTGTCCCTGCCTTGCACCCCTCCAGGGAAAAGTCCTGCCCACCCCTCGTCCTCTGATGGGTCCCTGCGCCCATGCGCACCCCTGGGCCTGCGGCCCCTCACCTGGTCCGGGGCTCCGCTCCAGCCTCCTTCGCCCGCCTCCTGCAGGGCAGGCCCCTGCTGGTCCTCCCGCGCCTGAGGCCGTTCTGCCCTGCTTGCCAGAGCGGGCTGTCTGCGCCCCTCCAGCTCCGACTCCAGGGCCTCAGCCCCATTGTCCGCTTTTGCGCTGCACTCCTCTGCTTTCTGCCCTCGGCTGTCTAGCTGGCCCTCCTTCCCAGCTGCTACTGGGGTCTCCCCATGCGCCTCCACCTCCCTGGGGGCTTTACGACCCTTTTCTGTCTTATCCCCAGCTTTACCTGCTTCCGCAGGCTCACTCTGAGGTGGCCCCCCTTCTCCTGTAGCACCCTGGGGCGCACCTGCCGGCCCAGGCACAGTTGGAGGGTCCCTTGATTTCTCCACCACGGTGGGCGCTTCCCCCACCTTCCCGACCTTCCCCAGCACTTTGCCCAACTTCTCTGCCTCCGCCTTAGATTCCTCTGTCTTCTCCACCTCACTCAGGAGCTCGCTGCCTTTGTCCTTCTTACTTTGGGGACCATCCCACTTGCTCCTTCTGCCCAGGGAACCTCCCCACTTCCTCACCTGAAGCCGGACTCCAGCCCACTTCCCTTCGCCCCCTGCATCCCTGGAGAGATTCTCTTTTGCCTTCTTGTTTGGGGGGTCCCCTACCCGCTTCTCCAAAGTCCCCAGTTGTCCCCCCTCACCTGGCCTCTCTTTGCCCTGGGGCACCTCCCCTTTCAGCCCTTTGGTCTGGGGGGCCCCACCCCCTTTCCCCACTGTGCCTTGATCCTTCTCGCCTTTTGTCAGTAGCACAGTTCCTGGGTCCCTTAGACCCCCAGTCTGGGTCTTCTCAGCCTTCAGGGTTGCATCCTCAGAGCTGGCCTGGGGGCCACAAGGAGTACCTGGGGTCCCCCCCTTTGGTTCCCCTCCTGGGTCTGTGGCTGGCAGTGGAATCTTGCATGTGGGGGCATCATGGGGCTGGGGCTTCTGCTCCAGTTTGGCTGAGTCCGGATCCAGCTTGGCCACCATCAGCAGCACGTCACCCCTCCTCACACCTCTCCTGCAGGGCAGGGGTTTTTTGGCTGGTGTCCCACTGGGGCTCAACTCCTGGGACTTCTCACCGTTGATGCTGGTGATCAGCA